ACCATGAGCCTTTTCTGCTGGGTAAGCCTTCTTCCTCTGTGCCTGGCTAATAGCTGTTAAGATGTGGATATGTCTCTTCTGAGAAGTCCTCCTGGCTCTTTGTGAGTCTGAGCATTTCCCCTCTCCTCCTACCACACCGTGCACAACCATCTCTCTCCTTACATGCTGTGAGCTCCTGGAAGGCCTACTGCCATGTCTCTTGAACTCAGTGTGAAACACAGTAAGTACACAGTAAATTTGTGGGAGGAAGACGGGGGACAGAACATCACAGCTGTCTCTTATCACTTCATTCACAGCTGTACCGATGGGATGTTCTCAGATAACAATTTCTTTTCTCTCAAAATGACTGACTACATAATCCCCAGATTGTTAGGTGTGCAAGGCTCAACGAATAACTGTCCTATATCATCCAACAGTTCAGTGCCCGGAGAAGGGTATCATGCTTGGTAAAGTAGAGGGGCAGGGAAGAAGATGAGACCTTCTTCAAGATGGATGGACGCAGTGGCTGCAATAATAGGCTCTAACATGACGTCAATTATGAGGCTGACACCAGACCGGTGGTGTTTTCTTTTATTGTACATAGGGTCAGACTCAACATCAAACTGTGTTACCTCTTAACACCGTGGTTGGCTACCAGTTGATGACTTTATTTATACTAAATGTTAGTAGGTTACAGTGACCACAGTTAGTACCCATTTTTTTTAAACATTGTAATCAAGACATGAGCAGCTAATAATCACTACTTTTTTTTCAAATAAGGCTGATCCCTGGTTGCTTTAGGTAGAGGCTATGTAATTGCTTTATCAAAATAACACAGAAGTCAGAACCCAAGAGACTTTTATGGTTGGTTTGAACAACTTAATTCATGCTTAAATTTATTATCCTTTAGAATGACTAATCTCTCTTGGTATTGAGAGCGTTAATAAAGCAAGTGTGGTAATAATATTTTGAAGACAGAATCTTACCTGCTTTCTATCCCCTACCCACACCCTCCCAAGAGACATGAGCCTCTAAGAAAAGAAATACCTTGTGACCCGTGAACTGAGTCAGAGCAGCACGTGGCGTTTGTGGTCAGGGTTTTCAGAGAATTGGTATTTCAAAATTACACGGTCCTTGCCGGTTTCAAACTCCTCCACAGGGAATGTAGGAAACGGACTCGTGTGAGAGCTGGATTCAGCGTTTCAGTGAGAAATCAGCGGGCCTGTGTGTGCTAACTTTGTCTTACCCAAAACCCCATCATCAGATGACAAACGTACTTGGGGAAGGCTTAGGTTATGCAGTCAGTTTTAGGGGAAAATGAAAAGGAGAGAGAAGCCACAAAGATGGTTCACCCATGTAAATATGTAATCCCTTACCATGTGCCAAGTCTTGCCCTGTTAGCTCATTGTAACAACTCTGGGAGGAAGGACAGCCTTAGATACTGTGGTTAGAGAAGTGGACTCTTCCAGGAAGTTAGCAGTGAGAGAGCAGAGCTGCTTTTACTTTTGCATTTGATGTGGTGGTTGGCCCAGTGTGGCCAAATGATATGTACCCTGTGCTTTCAGCCCAGAATAGTATGGAATGCAATCTGTTTGCGCTTCCTTCTGCAGCCTCACCAAGGTTTGCCCAGGGTCCAGGGCAGGCGAGCTACATATCAGAAGTATAACGAGCAAATCTGTTGTCTCTACTCTTTAAGTCTCTTCTGCACAAACCAAAAACCCTATTGCTATTAAGTCATTTCTGATTCATAGTGACCTTATCAGACAGAGTAGACCTTTTTTTTAAGTGTTTTTGAGACAAATCTGTGAGAGCAGACCATCTCTTAAAGAGCAGCTGATGGGTATGAAGCACTGACCTGCAGTTAAGCCTCCCAGTGCTTCAGCCCCCAGGGCTCCTTCTGGAACAGGGAGCAAAGAAACACATGTTGTAAAGAATTGACTATCCCTAAGGATTGTTGCCCTCTCTTGAGATCTTGTCAGGAGAAAGACAAAACTTTCTACTCCTCTGAAGAGTTAAGAGTCTTAGAAACCCAGAGGGGGCAGTTCAGTTCTACCCTGTTCCCTAGGGTCTCTAAGTTGGAAATGACAGTGAGTTTGGTTTGGTGAGGTTTTGTCAACATGTTGATAGCGGATTTTTTGTCTTCAGAGTAGTTCAACAATCTTGTTCTAAGATTCAGCATCTTCTTGTTCTGAAGAGGGACAGTGGCTATGTTGCTGTGGCTTACAGAGACAGAGAGACCTCTGCTCACCTAGCTACCCAGGCTGGAATCAAGCTGTTGAGATGCCGTCAGCTGTCAGTTGGCCTGAAAAAGCGTGAGCTGGCTCCTGTGACCTAGGGGCACTTAGAGAGTTCTTCACATGACTTCAGAAGATGGGCAGGAAGGACAGATGCAGTTAAGTGCTTTTATAAGTCACCTCAGCTGAAAATCTTGAGCCAAATTCTGTGCTAGGGTTTGTATTTGAATCATTTACCTCTTGGACCATCACATTCGTGCAAAACCACCATGGTAGATGAGCTTGCATGAAGTTAACTGGGATATGCAAGGTGCACATGTCTGCAGTGACCATCCCTCCTAGAACCCCCACTGCCACTATCCTGCCCGCCTCAGTTCTGGTCTTCATGGCTTTTGAGAGAACTGCCCCGCTGCTGGGGTTAACAGGGGAGCAGAATAGGGAAAGAGAAGTTGACAGCCCTGCTTGAAGCTGTCTTCTGGAGGATTCTGAAGAAGTGAAGTCAATTGTTTACTTGTGTGATACGATTTTTCCTAGTGCAACAAACCTTGTTCTAAGGAAGCAAAGATTTTCAGATACCTTGAGACACCTTTGGGAGTTACATGCAAACCTGTGTTTTATTGCTGGTAACTAAATGAATGTCCTTGAAGAACAAGTCTTTTCAAAGGTTTTTACTCAAATCCCATTTTGGGCATTAAGAGAAAAGTTGTGCGTACTTCAAATGGTCCAAATTAACCCTGGCAGTCTTTTCTGAGTATTGAGCTTGAGTATCACTGCCATTTTGTTTCCGGTAAGCTGTATTCCAGGTACAGTTTTGAAGTTAGAGGAACTGTGCACAGTCCCTCAGAATACTGAGAATTTTTTGCCCGGGCTGCCTACAGCTGCTACCTGTCATGTTTGATTCCAGGTTTAAATGACTTTTTCCTGATAAGTATGGATATTTCCATCTTATTCAGAGACAGTTTGAAAAAGTTGCTTTCTTTTCTCTGTTTCTGCCAGTGAGCCACCAATGGCGCAGTGGGTCTCTGCTCATCTCATAGTGACCTGCTGGGAGCCTTGATAGTCGATGAGCCATCCAGAAGTGGAATTCAGAGCAGGAGGGAGAGTGGGGTGCATTTATGCTGCTGAAAAAGACCTGATCATCCGTACCACAGATAGTCTCTTCACAAGAGTCTTTGGGGCATGCGGCTATTGCAGATGGAGCAATTCAATGACCCCGGCTGCAGTGTGGGTCATGATGTGGTCTTGCAGCTTGTACAGGGTGGTGTGTGGGGCAGACACTCACGTCTCCACTTCACAAGAGTCTTTGGGGTATGCGGCTATTGCAGATGGAGCAGTTCAATGGCCCCGGCCTCAGTGTGGGTCATGATGTGGTCTTGCAGCTTGTACAGGGTGGTGTGTGGGGCAGACACTCACGTCTCCACTTCTCCAGCCATTGGCTTGTCTCGGGATGCACTCACTGAGTGATCACAGCCCTGAAGCTGACACGCTGTTCACGGTATTGCTAAGGTTGCATGGAGCTGTTGGATTTCTTCCCCATTGCCCAGATGCATCATTCTGCTGATGCACTTGTGTTCTCCTGTTCCACTCTGATGGGCCTGGAGAGGTTTATCAAGGTCAAAGGTAACATCTGGGCCTAAATAATCCAAGTCAGTGCGACTCAGCATATTTTCATTAAGCACACCAGGGAGAGAGACACAGGCTGTGCCAGAGTGAGAGTGCTTTTTTATTTTTCTTCCTCACTGCAGTTGGAAAATGAGAGCCCTTTCAAATGGTTTCTGGTCTGTTTGACCCAAGAGTGCCCGACACTTCAGCTTCCTCTTGTACAAGGGCCATCTTGAGAGAGTACAGTGAGCAAGCAGGCCTGCGCTAACCCAGACTTGGGGACAACTTGACCTAAAGCACAGAGGGCCAGTTCCTTTCTTCAAGTGTGACAAGCAGACATTCCTTCCAGATTACAATCTGTGGTGGTTTTCATTGATAACGTCAAGATTCATTAAACGTGATACCGTATGCCCTTTGAATGAGAAGACTGCCTTAACACTCTGATACAGCTATAGCTTTAGCAGTTACCCTGTTCATCCTGCTCTTTGTAGAAGGTTCACCTCCCAGAAGCCCTCCTTCCCACTTATCTCAAAAAGCCTGGCATGTGGGCTAGAATGTGGGCCCTCTACAGCCTGATGTCACATTGTTCCAGTCATCAGTCACTCAGCTGCTTTCAAGCGTCCATACACGGTGGTTGTCGGGCGTTTGCCCTTTGGAAGCCAGTTTGGGTTCTATCCTATTAGTCCTCTCGGCACCCTTGATACAGAGTGGACAATGCCATGGTATATAGTGAAAGAAGAAAGCTTCCAAGCCATCAGGATGGCTCAGTGCATTTACTAAGCCAGCTCTGTAATGAAGTAGGTTAGAAATAATTTGAAATGGTAATCCTGGGGCATCCTAAGCTTTCCTGTTTGTGGTCTCAATTGCTTAAAGGTTATGGCAGAATTTTTAAAATGTTCATGTGGCAGATTGCTGGGCTGTCCACCAAATTCCATTCTCATTTTCTAATGGGCATAGCTTGCCCTGCATTTCCTGGCCAATGTCATCTGTCAAACGGGTCTTCACACGGATTGGACAAGGATTCTAACAATCCTGCCACGTAGTCATGTGACATTTTTATTTTCCTGTGACAAAAATGAGTACGTGTGTGTACTTTGTCACAAGTTAGTATCTGTAGCCCAGACTAATAAGAGTTGGGATAGTCCACACAGTTAATTAACGGTGTCATCCTTCACTTGTTTCCAGGCTACCACCTGAAAGACTTTGGTGACTTGAGTTTTACTCCAGTTCCCAAAGATGACGTCTACAATAACCTGATAGTGAACCCACGCTCCGTGGGCCTTGCCAACCAGGAACTGGCAGAAGTGGTTGGTAGAGCCATCTCAGATGGATACAGCTGCATCACGGTGGGAGGAGACCACAGGTAAGCTGGGAGATGAGGAGAGTGGATATGCTGGTTACCTGGTGCTTTGGACTTCGTATTTTGGCATTTTTCTTTACCTGGAGAATTTTAGGGTCTTGTGCATGTCTAAGGTCAGAGCTTCCGGGGGCACATGTAGTCTTTTGTATAACACGTTGTCTAAATAGGTCATGTACATTCAGACACAGCAGGTACAGAGGCAGACCAAGCAAGGCTTTTAGGCACCATGTGTTTTGTGATTGAAAAGTTCTCAAAACTTTTGTGTTTGTGCTAGCAGGTTCTTACAGAGCCTCTCTCTGGGTTTGAAGGTACATTTCCTGCCTCTGCACTCTGGATCCTCTTCCTCAAAGTGAATCAACGTTCACTTTTATTGATCATTGTTCTGATGTGTCCTCAGCTGTGCTAGGGATTGTGGAATATACGTAATAAGATAAAGTGCCTGCTCTAGGAAACGTGGACCAATTAGAACTAGGTGAAAAAAGACACATGGAATGTAAAATAAAATACCAAATTCTGTAAGATTTAAAGAAGAGACCAGTCTGGGTTCAGTAAGCTTTCTCAGAGGATCTGGGCAAGTAATGAAGGTTTTTGTAGATGGGAAAAAGCATCACAGTACTAGGAATACTAAGTACTTCATAGCTATTCTCACTTTTAATCCTTCTAACAATGCCGTGAGGTGATATGGTATATATTCATTTATTGCCCAGGACACAGGTCAAATAAAGTTAACAAGGTTGAGAGCCAGGGAGTAGTAAAGCTGGGATTCAAAGTCAGTGTGACTCCTTTGGTAGGTAACTCCTCTTTCCAGACCCAATCTAGAACCTTTCTCTGAAGCTTTTCAGGTAACAGAAATTATTTTTGTTTGTTACAACTGTAGAGGCAGGTAGCTTCCTCATTAGTAATAAAAATTTAAAGAGTAAGAATGGGTCAGCCCCAGGTTTTCTACTAAGATTTTACTGCGGTGAAGCAGAAAGTAGGTCTCTTTTTCCCAGCTGTCTTTGGAAGTGCATCTGGCTCGTCTTCCTTCCAGTCACGCCTCCTTGTCCGTGGCCTCGTATCAATGGGATTACCACAGGCCTTGGCTTCTCTTTTTCCTACTTGATGCTGAAACC